CCAAAAAGAAGAAAATTTAAAACCCAAAAGATAAACCAGAAGTGAAACAATAAAATCTATCCCTCTAATTCTAATGGGCTGTGGACGTGTTGGACGTCAACTCCTCCAACACATTGTTTCCTCTAGATCCTTTAATGCCAAGCTCGTAGTTCCTTTTTCCCATTTTCTTCATCATTTCAATCTTTTTTTTTTTTCCTTTTTAGGCCCCTTCTTTTCTCCATTAAAATTAGCATATTTTCATTCTAACTTCTTTTGCATTGTTCAAGTTGTTTATCAGAGTTTATAACCATATCTGCAAATATGATTTTTTTTTCTAAAAAAATTTGCATGCAAAGCAAAAAAATAAAAAAAGAGTATACTAAACATGCCAAGAAAATAAAAAGGAAAAAAATTACCTATTTTTAAAAAATTCAATCTTAGATAGGCCATTACAAAAATCTCAATTCAATTTTGATTTTTACCTTTTTTTCACCTAAAAGATAAAAAAAAAAAACAACAAAGATACCCAGAAACAATAACATCAAAACAATAATAGAAAGACATCAACAAAAAGGCAAACCATCCAAAAAAAAAAGAACGAAAAAAACTAGAAAATTAAACACGAAAAAAATTTCACCTGAGTGAAGAAAACAAAGAAAATAAGCAAAACATTGAAAAGCATAAAAGTTAAAAGAAGCGAGAACTAGAAATGAAACAAATACACAAACTTGAAAAATCTCTTCAATTGTCCAAGCAAGAAATAATTTGTATATTTGAGTTTTTACCAAAAATAACCCCTAAATCCCCATTTAATACATTATTGAGCTGTCTCCTATAGAATTAATTGGGGATAGCTTTTTTATATAGGTATAGATCATTGATTAATCTACATGCAAAGAAGGTATTAGTAGTCTCTAAATGTTCATCCAAAGATAATATTGATTTATTTTATATTGTCCTAAAAAATCCTAAATAAATGATATTTTATTTTTAATTAGGGTTCATTAGCTTAGATAATGAAAAATTTTTATGTTTTCTCCAATATTATGGTAAGTATTTTACAAATTTCTTTAATCTAAAGAGTATTTACAAAATTCATTTATTTTTTTTAAAAAAATTTATCATCAAATTAATTTAATATTTTATGAAAAAAGTTTATTTATTTTTATTTTTGATTTTACAAAAATTTATTTTTTCACTAAATAATTTATTAAAAATAAATAAAAATTATTATTAGAATATTACCAAATCTTGGTAAGATTTTAAGAAAATTCCTCATGTAGGAATTTTAAGAAATTCATCACTTGCAATTTTCTTTTAATTTCGTTATTGAAATAATTTTCATTTCTTTTCAAGGTTTTATAAAATTTATATGATACAAATAAATAAATATAATTATAAAAATTATAAATTTATTTGTATAACTCATATTTTTAGTTATTTATGTTGTCAAACAATAAAAATACATTCTTAATCCAAAATTTTAAATATTTATATAAATAAAAAATAAAAAATGATAAATAGTAGAATAAAATAAAACTAAAAAATAAAATAAAAGTAAAAAATAAAAAAACTAAAAAATTGAGAAGTTGACAATCAAATTGGGAACAACGTGAATGTAGAAACATATATTGATATTGATCAAATTATATCGAAGGTCTTTATATTTTGCGAAAATTTAGAACTTAGCTCATGTATTATAATTTATATAAATTTAATTATCATATTATTTTAATTTGATAATTTTAATCAAATCACTAATTATTAATTTTTGTCGTTAAAAATGCTAATGCGATCGTTGATTTGATGATGTAATGTGAACTTTGTTGACATGACATTGACTTTATTGATAGAACGTTAGCTTACTAATCTAACAATTTGGATGTATAAAATCAATTGTTAAATTATACAAATAATCATGTACTCACACAAAATTTGAAAATTGGTTTTTCAAGTATAATTTCATAAAAATCTCTTCTTATAAGTTAAAATTAATATTGTTAGTATAATTACTAATATGAATAATATTTTTTACTTTTATTTTAAAATTAGATTTTAATTTTTAAAAAATCAAATCTCATATTTTTTAGAAAAATTTTATATTTTAAAATATTAATTTAATATTTTAAAATATTTTAATTTTTAAAAATTAAATTTTAATTTTTAAAAGTTCATTATTTTCAAATTTTTAAGAAATTTTCTAGTTTTTTAAAAATTTTAAATGTGCTATTTTTAATATTTTAATTTTTTAAATAGAAATAATTTTTTGAATGTTTTATTTTTTGAAATCTTACATTTTATTTAATCAAAATATTTAATTTTTTGTTTTTAACTATTTTGGAATTTTATAAAATTTTTATATTTTTTTTCATTTTTTTAATTTTTAAAAAAAATTTCTATATTTTTTAATATTTAAATAAATAAATTATAAAGAAAAGTTGTGTCTTAATAATTTGTTCTATTTTGATGTATTTGAGGTGGAATAGCATAAAAATCGAAGATAAAACAGAAGAATAATAAAGTACAAAAAGCTTTTGATTTTAATTTATTTATCACTTGAATAAGAAAAAAAATATGTAAAAATTTTTAAAAATTTATAAACTTTTTTTAAAAACATAAAACATTATAAAAATTTTCTAAAAAACATAAAAATAACAAAAATATTTTTTAAATATCTAAAATATTAAAAAATAAAAAATTAAATATTGTTTAAATAAAAATGTTAAAATTTGAAAAAAATACAAAAACTTTCAAAAAATGAAATTAAAAAAATTAAAATATTGAAAAATAAATTTAATATTTTAAAAAATCTAGAAAATAAATTAAAATGAAATTTTATTTTGAATAGATGAAATTTTAAATTTCGTGTAAGTACATAAATTAAACTTTAAATTTCATGCGTATACATAGATATTTACATAATTTAACAATTGATTTTATCTATTCAAGTTGCCATGTTAAAAAAATTAATTATCATTTCAATAAAATCAACGCTTATATCATTAAATTAATGGTCCTGTTAGCATTTTTAGTAAAAAAAAATTAATAAAGTTAATGATTATATTAAGATTATCAAATTAAAATAGTATAAATATTAAATTTTTATAAATTACAATATAAAGATTAATTTTAAAATTTGACAAAGTACAAGAACTTCAAACATAATTTAACCATTGATTTTTGATTTGCAACTTAATAAAACTCTAGTAATACATTAATAGATAAAATAAAAATTTGTGATAGAAAGGTGAAACAGTAAAATAAAATTAAAAAAAAAAAAAAAAACAAAGATTGAGATAATAGGTTAGTTGCTTCTTTTGTAAAAGTTTATTTAAATGGGTGATAAGGTTGAAAACAGAGGTAGATATAAAATTGATTATTATAATGATAAAATTAAAATTAATGATTAAGATATGTGTTTAGATTTAAACGTAATGGTGATAATAAGATGAATTGTAATTAAAAAAATAATCATAAATGATATTTAATTAAAATTTGTATATAATAAAAATTTTAAATTATTTAATATTTATAAAATTAATAAAATTATTAAAAAAAATATTTTTATATCAAGTCATAAATAATAAAAGTAATTTAATTTTATAAAAAAAAATAAATTGTAAAAACTTTTAAACACAAAAAATTAAAGGGTAAATTACATAAAATCACATTGTGATTTAAGATAGATTTAAAGTGGTCTTTGAGATTTAAAAAATGATATTTAACTATCTTATGATTTTTTTTTTACAAAAAATCGTTATTTTTTTTTTTTTTTTTGTCATCATCATCATCAATTCATTCTCTTTCTAAAATTAGATAATTCTCTCTCTAAAACAGAAAATTATAGTCACTCACTTCTTAATATAGGATGGATTACCGGTACTAGTTAAAAAATCCCTTTGATATATGCCTAGAAATTTAGTGACTCATACTTGGTGTTGCAGAGCTGTTAACCCATTCTATCATCACAAAATCTGAAGAAAGAGGCAGTGGCCCACTCTACAACAACACAACTTCGTTTATTGAAATATCCATCTTTTCTGTTTTTTTCTTTATTGTTGCACATACTTGGTGTTGTAGAACTGCTAACTTATTTTATCTTCACAGAATCTGGAGAATGAGGCAGTGGTCCACTCTTCAATAACCCGATCATTTTTGCCTTTTTTTTTTTTTATCGTAATCCTCATTTTATATACCTGCCCATTAGAGCCTCCAACACTTATGCCATAGTTGGCCTCATGTCTTTCTCATTTTGCAGGCATTAGATTGCCACCTCTACCACTCCAGTTATCATTTTCCAAACCTTGTAGTTTGATTCAAACATAAGAGATGGATCCACTAGGTCATGCAATGCTCGTTTTTGAATCGTATTTGTCTGCTACATGCTTCTTTGCTAATTTTGCAAGAATAATCCCATTCCTATTGTATCTTTAAGGAATGGGATCTATAGCATCAACATGGACAACCATCTAGAAAGCTTTAACTAAATTAAACAAGATGTTTATGTCTTTGTTATTAAGCCTTCTGTGTGCTAATGAAAAGGTTTTCCAGCAGAGTAGGAGCAAAGCAAGGAAAATTTAAATATGTCAAATGGGATGGATACAATCCATCTAAAGTCCTAATACTTGTAAGCGACATGTAATCCCACGAAGGCTCAATTATCAGCAATTTAAATCAAGTTATATATTCTGAACTTCAGTTACAAAAGTGTAAGTAACACATGTAGCAAGAAAGATAGGAGATTTTGGTTTTGTCCCAAACTTAAGGAGTCCTTCCAACGGCCATCCAGAATTTTATTTTATTTTTTTCTGTTTTAGAGAGAGAAAATTTATTTGATTTTAGAGAGAAAATGAATTGACGATAAAAAAAAAAACAAAAAAATAATAATTTTGGGTAAAAAAATAAATCATAATGTAATTAAGTGTTATTTTTTAAGCGTTAAGGTTCACTTTGAATTCGCCTCAAACACAAGGTAATTTTATGAAATTTACCAAAATTAAAAGTAAACCAAAATAAAACAGTTGAAAAATATAAGAGCAAAGAGGTTAAAATTGGGGAAAAAAATCCCAGTTGAAATTTGCTTTCTTTCACCGGACCTGTGAAAGTTCCGTGCATAAATGGAGGTATAGCATGACGAACCACCGCATATTTGCTATCCAAATGAAAAAATGGTGCGATTGCAAACGTCATTCTCACGTCACCGTGGCTGCGGCAGAATCGAAATGGGGCCCAAGTTGAAACGAAGTTAGCTTCTGAGTTCCAGTTGCCACCAATTTTCACATCGAAACCCCCAAATCCCAATTTCGAATCCTCACCATGTTCTTTCGATTCAAATATCTACACTTTTTCTAATCCTTATTCCTCGTCAATGTCCTCTTCGCTTTTCAACAACAACAGCATCTCAATCTCGGTCTCAGATGACGAATCCGACGAACTCGGTCGAATGCGAGTCCGAGTCCAAAGGAAACGCAAGAAACACGGCCACCCCCTAGTCAGGACCGAGTTGACTCAGCGACTCATCCGTTGGTTCGTCAAATACTGGACGCTCCTTATATTCCTTCCGGCCGCTTTGCTGCTCTTTTTCGAGGCTACCAGGATCAGTAGAAAACCTGGATTGGTCGTCAACTCGGAAGTTAATGAAGTGAGAAAGCCCAATTTGTCGGGTAACTCAGAACTTAGTAAAGTGAAGGAACAGAGTCAAGAAAAGAAATACGACAGCAACTTGAACCGACTTGATCCAACCACTCATGTTGTCGGTGGCATTAGAGAACGTAAGTAGAATATCAAATGAATCTCTTCCTTCTTTTTTATTTTTTTTTATTTTTAGCTATGGTTAAAGAGAAATAGAAAATTGTTTCAAATTTTGGGGCCAAAATTATTGACAAGTAGGAAATATTTAGAAATACAGGAATAAATGACAAAATGTATGTGGAATCTATCAGGTTGCTTGAAGCTCCTAGCAGCAGAGGAACTTGAGCATCTGGATATTCCAGTAGATGAAGAATCTAGTACTAGTCCTGTTAAAAGATTGGTGTACATAGAAGATCATGAAACGCCTTATGGTGGAGGGAACTCTACCCTCTCTTGGCAGCGTACTAATGGCACGAGATTTAATCTATTTACTGGAAACCAAACCCTCGAAGAGAGACAGAAAAGCTTTCAGGTTTTGACCCTTAATAAAGAGCATGCTGATTTTTTAATGTTAGACTTGCAAAATGTTTCTCTCTCTCTCTCTCTTTCTCTCTTTTGTTGGTATTGTGGATTATGCTTATATCTGCATGGAAATTGTTTGTCCAGGTGAATGAAACTGCTGTTTTACATTGCGGTTTTTTTAGTGAAAATGGTGGTTTTAAGATATCTGATAGGGACAAAAATTATATGCAAACTTGCAAAGTTGTGGTTTCTACTTGTGCATTTGGAGGTGGTGATGATCTTTATCAACCTATAGGAATGTCAGAGGCATCTCTTAAAAGGGTGAGCATAGATGATGCAGAAAACTTACTTTTTGGCTTAGATGTTCAACATTTATAATTTTTTCTCGAATTCGGCATTCTGTTGATGCAGGTTTGCTATGTTGCGTTCTGGGATGAAATTACGCTTGCAGCACAGGAATCAAATGGTAATAAGATTGACAAGGATGGATATATTGGGAAATGGCGTATTGTGATTGTACGAAATCTTCCTTTTGTAGACCAAAGGTTGAATGGGAAAATTCCTAAGGTCTGTATAGATAAACCTGCAAAATTGTAGATGTTATTCACTTTTTGATCTCTAAACATTTTGTCTTTCTGCCTGATCATGATTGCTATCAATTTATTCTGCATTTTAGAACTTGTTTAAACTCTTCTTCATTCGTCACCACCAGTGTCTTTTCTTGTTTTTGCATTGCTCATCTGCTATCATTTATCGGCAACTTTAGATCATTATGGTCATATATCCATGAAGTCACCATGAAAGTTTGATCATTCATCCTCATGTGATATGTGGATTAATGGCCATTTTCTTGCCTTCTCACATTTGGTTGCTTTGATACTTATGCATCTTTGTTTCAATATGTATGCTAAGAATTTCATGAAGATTGTATTAACGAGTTTGTGTCTATCAGATGTTGCCCCATCGGCTCTTTCCTCATGCAAAGTATTCTATTTGGGTAGACTCAAAATCCCAATTCAGGAGGGATCCTTTAGGGGTATTAGAAGCCCTTCTTTGGCGTAGGAATTCTGTGCTTGCAATTTCAGAGCATGGAGCTCGTAGTAGTGTCTATGACGAGGCGAAGGCTGTCATAAAAAAAAATAAAGCCACACCAGAAGAAGTTGAGGTGCAAATGACTCAGTATCGTCAGGATGGTCTTCCTGAGGACAAGAGATTTAATGGAAAGAAAGGTATTCTTCTGTCTTCTCTTTATTGGTTGTGTAAAAGATATCAACAACAATGAATACGCTTTACTATATTAAAGGTCAATGGAAGTGATCAACCACAACTGGCATGACTTCATAAATTCTTGTGTCCACCATAAGCTATATTTTTCATTACTCATTCTCCGGTCTGGTTTGAATTGTCTGAATTCCACTGCTCCTGGTGTTTGAGGGTTACAAACTTGTTATAAAGAACCTAGAAGGGAGCATATAAGCCATTTGTTATTTATGCGTTTGAAAGATTTTACTGCCTCTAAACTATTTATACATGCTCCAGACCAAGTTTTGATAAAATTAGGTCTTGTATTCTTGCCAATCTTCAGCCTGGCTGAGCTCAGTAGCAATTAAGGTCAACTAAGGCCATATAATAAAACCTCAATAGAGAGAGAGGCCAGTAATTGGAAGGAAGCACTAGACTGTTTTGACCTGTTTCTTACATAGAGAAAAAATGAACAAATTGCTAAAAGAAGGGGGATATAATTACTTGGGCCCTGTCCAGATAACTGGAATTAACTTATAAACTTATTTTATTTTGGTGCAAAATTTTGATTTGCTTTTTGTTTTTTTGTGCAGCTCTAAATGAAGCCTCTGTCATTGTGAGGAAGCATACACCTTTGACTAATATGTTCATGTGCCTCTGGTTTAATGAGGTTGTTCGTTTCACTTCAAGGGATCAATTGAGCTTTCCATTTGTTGTCTGGCGGTTGAAAGTGCTAAGGAACATCAATATGTTCCCAGTCTGCACACGCAAAGATCTTGTCAATAGCATGGGCCACATACGCAAGGCTAAGCCTTTGACAAGTTGATGTTATTGCTCCCGTACCACTTCAACTTCTTGACTATTACATTAGAGATGCTGGTGGCATATAGTCTGTAGTATAACATTTAATCATTTTGTTATCTCCTTAAATGTTTTACAGGTTGCATCGGCCTTTAGAGCCTTCTTATCTACTTCTCTTTTGCCTCATAAATTTGTTTATTATTTTACTATGAAAAGATTAGTTATTCTTTTGGTTAGAATAAATTGTTAAAGTAAATCTTGTATCTATCCGTGTTCTAGGAGGTCTGATTGTAAGACAGACGAATTGAAGCTTATAGTTATTCTTACCTTGAAATACTCTGTTGTCAAATGTGATGTAGTTTCTTGATCATAAGTATTAGTTTTCTTCCCCTTAAACTGATTTATGTAGTCACAGGTTATTTTTACCTACTCAAGGCCCACAAGCCACATCCAAACTCAATTCCAGGAACTCCATCGTTTCTAATGGTTTAGGTTTAAAGCTGAAGAAGTGGACTTGGAGTCCAAAAGCATTTAGCACTGAGGAACAGGTTTGTTTCAACATCTAATGCATTTAAATTGATCTCAAAAAGCAATAGAATTGAGGCTGATCCAATTCTACACCTCAATTCTACAAAATGCTTCCCAGAATCATGTTCTGCATCGCTGCTATTTTAGCCATTCTAGCTGTGATTCTCTTAGCCTTGCTTTCACCGGTAGCCTACCAAAACCCAGCAAAGAACCCCTCCAGACCTTGGCTTGCCCTGTCCTTGTACAGCCAACAGCCACATATTTCAAGCTCTAGCATCTAACCTGTTGAGTCTGATGCTGGAGCCTTTATCTTTCACCATGCACTCACGGAGGGATCTGAGAACACGTCCTGAGTTGTTGGAAAAGCCCAAGGGTTCATAATTCCGATCAAACATTTTGCTAGTTCTGCATTCAATATAATTTATCTCACTTTTGAGACACCTGAGTTTGCTGGGAGCCTGAGTGCGCAGGCCGAACATGTTGAGCACAAGGATAAGGAACTGAGTGGTTGGAGGAACCGGGTCTTTTGCATTTGCACGTGGGTTGCAGTTTTTGCGTAGACCGATTCCCAGTCATCTGAAGCTGATGCCACTTATCATGTAAAGCTTCGGCTTAGAGTTCATAATAGATCTCAGACCATTCCAGGATGAGAATCATCCGTTTGAGAAATCCTTTCCATTTTTCTTTTCTGCAGTTATCAATTTATCATGAGGCTATTTTAACCCAAAGTTCTATTGTACTATAAGCTTTTCAACCTGGTGCTGAATGTTAATGTACAACAGATGCCTTATACTGATCTTCAATGATAGCTCCAAATCTTATTGACAAATTCGAATGGCTGAAGCATGAGAGTCTCTCTTTCTCATTCACACAACCCACCAGATCCAGTTTATCAGGGCGAAATTAACCAGACAAATCAGGCCAAAATGCAAATATGTGCAGAAAGATTTATCCAACCATTCTTTTGTTAGGACTTTGGTGGTACATTTGCTTGCCTATCTGGTTTCATTATGCTAATATAATCGATTTATTGTTCATCATACATCAAGTTTGTATGCTATCAGAACGAATTATCATTGTCTGGTTAATTGCCTCCTGAGTGCGTTAGTGCTGAAGCAGGAGATAGCTTTGGGTATTGTTCATATGGATCATATCTTTCCCTTTTTCTACTGAAATTTCTATTGATAAAAATAATGAATAACCAAATCACAAAATAAAGCTACCCATTTGTCTACCTCTTCATGTGAAACATGGAATCCTTAGTACAATGACTTTTTGCATTACACGAACAGAATATTGCTAGTATAAACAGAAAGCAAAATTCATTAAATTCCAATAAAAAGGGGAGGGAAGTAGGGAGCTATTTGATTAAAAATGAGGTTGTTAACTAGCTGGTATTCTAGTTTTATTGATTTTAAGATCATATAATGACGTATGAATTGTTGAACTGTGCGGCCCCTGATCATGGCTGTCGGCGAATGAAGTTTTACTTTGGTAAGCCCTTTGCTTTGTTTCCATTTTTTTTCTTTCGGTTATTTGAATACGAATATTCTGTTGAAAGCTGTATGTTCTTTGATGTTTGTCAATTACAGTGTGCCAAACACTGGTTGGGGACTGTGATTTAAAGAAGCAATTGAGCAGAAGTAGAAGCTGCTTCTACCTTAAACTTGTTTTCCACGACTCCCCCGCATAAGATTTTTTCTTCGGCTTCTAGCTGAACTTTATAGGGATTTGACAAACTCGGAAGTCAGAATGCTGCTCCACCTCAGTGGACCATGCACACACCATTGATGGCAGGTAAACTGAAATCGCTCTTGACTGAAGATATCACCTTTTTTTTTTTTTTTTGCCCCTTTTATGATTCTTTTCTTTTGGTACTTGTAATGTCCCAACGCAAATGATAATTGGGTTAGATTTTTACCCAAATCCATTATTTAATTAAGAAATTAACTATAGGAAATGGAGCTGATGTATTTTATGAGAAAAAATCTAGTTATCTTTATTTAACATGAAACAAAAAATAAAATAAGAAATCATCTTTCTCATCTTCTTTACGGTTAGGAAGTTTGAAAAATAAAATTGAGGATCCGAAATCAAAGGTTATAATTGGATTAATCTCTTAAAGGTGACTATATATCTTTTTTTTTTATTTAAAAAAAATCATATTTATTGCTATTATTTAGAATTAAAGTTATGAGAAAAAAATCAAGAAAAATTATGAAATTGTTTATTAATATTCATATATACTTGGGTAAAGTTTTGATTTTTGTTTGTTTATTTGTTTATTTTTATATTATTAATATATAATGATAATTATTAACTAGATTTTAAAGACTAAAAGTGAATATTTGGGTTTTTAAATATTGAAGGAGAAATTCTTGGATAAGATGTTATTATCTACAATAATGATTAAATCAAAATTTTATATTAAAGGATAAAATATTACTATGAGGATTATATACCGTTGGAAAGCTTGTTGAATAACAAAAGTCGATTTTGAGTTTTCTATGAAGAGTCTAATTTTTATTTAAAGATATGTAGGCTGCATGGTAATAGCATTAGGGATAAATTACAAAAATTACCTTAAATTTTATACATGAAACTATAAATTGAGCCATATATGTTTGGAAAGCTTATTGAGTCTATTTTTTTAATTAAATAAATGAAACTGAATTTTAAGTCTTCTATAAATAAATATTTAAGTTTTATTAAAAGGTATAAATGTTGTATGACAGTAGCATTTATTGTAGATTGCAAAAATTATTAAAACTAATCTATAAGGAATTATGAAGTGGGCCATATATGGTTAGATAGCTTATCAAGTTTAGTTTCTAACACACTAAAAAGATTTTAACTTTGAATTGTATATCTTGAGATATGACTATTTTAGTGAAAAGAGCATAGGTTACCAACATTAGTTAGTTGAGTTAACTCCTGTATAATTTAATTGTTTTAGTATAAGTGCCTAAAAAAGGGTTGATTAATTTCAGATATGTTGAAATGACCTTAAATAGATCATTAATTATTTTGGAAAAAAAATTAAGTGATGGAATTGAAATGGGGCAAGTAAAATCTCACATGTTTTGCTTGTTTTTGAACTTATGTATATATGTATGTTCTAAATGAGTGAAAGTTTTTTTTTTTTTGTTATTTTTGATATATAAAAATAGAGTCTAGCATTTGATTATTTTGTGTTTTACTATATAAATTATGGATAATGTTTTTGAATGAAATGAGAAATTGATTATGCTTAAGAATGACTTTGGTAGCTAGGAATGAATCCCTAGGAAAAGGGATCATCAACACTAGAACTAGTTCTATGACCTTAGCTAATTGGTTATAATAGTTAGTATAAGACCTTGACTAACGGGTTATAGTAGTTAGCAATAATCATGAGGATGAAATTGTTAATATGACCATTATCATTGGTTATAGTAGTGACTATAACTAATGATAAACTAATTATAATGATTATTTATGATGATGAGTTTACAATTTTGAAAATTGATTGATGATTTGTATGAAGTATGTATTTGACAATGATTATAATTTATAATTGATGAAATAATATGTTTTGATATGATATCAATCCTTTGAATGCTTGCTTAAATATTTTGGAAGCTTAATTTGAATGATATTTCTGAATGATCCATATGTATATATGTATGAATACAATACTTGATCCAGTAAGATATGTAAGCCTATACTTGTTGAATTGTGGTTTACTCATTTTGCTTTTACTTTCTTTTTGCAGATGATTAAAATGATAAGTTTGTTTAAAAATATGAGAAGCTAGAAGATTACATTGGAAATATTACTTGAGCATTGGAGACATTATTAGCTTGTGAGATTTTATGCAGCAGTTTTGCATTTTTATTAGTTTATATTTAGGTATATGGAGACTTATCATTAGTTGAATTAAAGATATGGATTTTACTTAAACATAATATTTTATTAAGAAATTTTAAAATGATTAAGAAAAAAGGCTTCATATTACTGTGGAGTTTTAACTTTGATGTAATATAGTTGTATTGCATCTCGATTTTAAGGTGTGACGGTATTACAACAAAATAAGGCTTATAATCTCTTTTTAGTTGTTCTTTTGTAAAAGGCTATTGTTTCATATAGTTATTGATTTTTTAATGTCCTATCTTAAATATATTTGTAGGAACTGCTTTTTACTATGTATCTTAAACATCTTCATAGTTGTTGATATAGATATCATGGATATGGCTCTTTGGGCTAAGGTAAGTGTGATGATTTTATTCTTTCTGATATCTTGATTGTTTTTGGCCAATATATCTTGACTATTGAATTGATACTAAATCATTTTTTTATGCAAATTATAGATTACTTGAACTAACAAAAAGCTGTAATTACCTTTTATTACTACTAAAGATTTGTTTTGGACAAGCATTTGCAAAACATAATATAAGCTTTTAGTTGCTGGTTCATAATGGCCAAGTTTAAGGATTTTTTTAATATATTGGTCCTTATGGATTGGTGATGAGTTTTGATTTTTACTTAAAATTTCAAGCAGATATAATTTCTCCTAAAACTCAAGAATCTTGTTTGAATAATTTTATTTGAAATTATCTTTTTTTTTTCATTTCTTTGACATGTATAATAATAGAAAGTGACTTGAAAGTAACTTTTGGAAAGTAACTTGTCTTTCAAGCTGAGAAAGATGACATGAAGGCATTTTTGGGCATGTTTGTTGTTACTTTAGTATGTCCTAAGGTTTTTCAAGGAAAGTTAAATGTTCTTCATTCTTAATCAAGTGTAAAGATTCCTTATA